CTGTGCGCGTGTGTGTGTGTGTGTGTGTGTGTGTGTGTGTAATATGTGTGTGTCGTGTGGTGTATGTGCAGTGTGTGCTGTGTATGTGCAATGCGTGGGTAATGTGTGTGTGTGCAGTGGGCTGTGTGAAGTGGGTGTATGTTGTGTGCCGTGTGTAGTGTGTACGTGGTGTTATGTAGTGTGCGCACGCGCAGTGTGTTGTGTGTGTACAGTGGTGTGTAGGTAACATGTGTGTTTGTGCGTGCTGGGTGTGTGTACAGTGTGTGGTGTGTAGGTAGTGTGTGTATATGCGTGTGCAGTGTGCATGCAGTGTGTGGTGTGTGTGTGTTACATGTGTGGCGTGTGCAGTGTGTACATACTACGTGTGGGTGTGGTGGGTGCCTCTGTACCCCTGCTCTTGTGTCTGGTCCTTCCCACACTTAGCTGATGGATTTCTTCGGTCTCATTCTGTCTCCTGCTTACCTTTTGCCCATAAAGAGAAAGGATTCTGTAGTATTTCAGACCTACCTGGGGCCCTCCACCCAGTCAGAGAGATCACACCTTACCAATATAGGTGTAAGAACACCCAGTGGGCACAGTGGGTAAGTGCTGTCTCACAGAACCCCAAACCACCAGCCGCTCAAGGGAGAAAGACGAGGCTGTCTGCTCCCGGTAAGACTGACAGCCCCAGAAACCCACGGGGCCCATTCTCCTCTGTCTTAGGGGGCTCGCTGAGCGTGGGATTGACGCGATAGCAGTTGGTGTGGGGTACGTGCCCCTCCCCCTCACACCTCACATCCCCGCCGTCTTGTCCAGTTGTCTTTTGTTTTGTTTTGGTTTTTTTCTCTTTTACCGTTGAGGCGTAGCTTACGGGCGGCCAAGCGGCGGGTCCTCTGGGAGCAGCATCGCTCAAAGCGCGTCTTCCATCCAACACACCTGGCTTACGGGAGCTGGGTGGGAGCACGCCATCCCTCCAGAAGATTCCTGGGGTCTCTTCGGCACTAGCATGGCCCCCAGAAACACACTTCCCACTATGGGTGGGTTCTGCCTGGCTGGGAACTCTCAAAAAGAGCTTCTCCCAGTGCCGATTCTTTTGCATTTTTACTCGCTGCCTAGCGCTCCACGCAATGACCGGCGCCCCCAGGGCGCCCTAGAGCCTGGAGTGGAACGGGGCACCCCAGGACCCGCTGTCCCCGTGAGGGTTTTCCAGGCTGCGTCCTATCTCGGCTGCAGGGTGGCAGGCCTTTCTTCCGCCCAGCAGTTGGCGTTTGACCTGCCCACGCCTCCCTTAGCGGCTGAGCACCGTAACCGCTGCACCACCAGGGCTGGTCTTAAGGAAGCTCTGGGGTGTGGTGGCGGAGGCACAAAAGCTAAGGGCTTGGCAGCTGAGCTGAAAAGGTCGGAGGTTCAAACCCACCAGCTGCTCCAGGGGGCCCGAAAGAGGAGGCCGTGGGCTTCTGGAAAAGATGTTCTGAGTTGGCCATCGTCCGGGACAGCTCGACTCTCCCCTCCAGGGCCACTCGTGAGCCAGAATTGGCAGGACAGCAGTGGGTACAATGAGGGAAGACCACTTGGGGAGTCCTGAGAAGCCCACCTGATGCTGCTTTATAAAGATGACTACCTCCATTTCCCACCCTGCAGTCCGCCCTCACCCCACCCCAGGGAGACCAGGGCACCTGCATGGGGCCCAGGGGGCCTGAGGGAACCTTCAGTCACCAAGCCCCCCCACTCCACCTCAGGGAGCCCATGTTAGTGGGAGCTGGCTTGCCTGGTCTTAGCGCTTTCTCTCTGAGCACCTAGATCTCCATCTCTCCCCGTGTGTTGCACACACACGTGTCTCTGCATGCCACCGTCTTTCTGTGCCCCTCTGCCACTCCCTTACCAGCTGTCTCTCTGTCTCTGTGTTTCTATCTCTCTGCGTTTTTTGTTTTCTCTCTTTCCACTCAAGTTGCCCCCTCTCTCCTCTTGGCCCCCATGTCTGGGTCTGAGTCTCCTCACTGGTCCAGGGTAGGGGCGGGGCTGGGTGCCCCTGCAGCCTGGATGACCCCTCTCCCACTGCCACCCTCCTCAGTACTCAGATGGCGTCTTCTATGACCTGGATAGCGGCAAGCACCCAGGTTATACGGACACAGAGGGGGTTCCTGGTGAGTGACCCTGAACCTCCCCTCCCTGGCTGGGCTATGGGAGTGCGGTGGGGGTGGGGGTGGGGTGCATCACCTGACTGAGCAAGATAAGAGGAGGCCTCACCTCATGGTCTCCTCCCTACCCTTCTGCCCAGGCCCCCCAGGTCCGCCCCCTCCATGCAAATCCTGGGGTCAGGGATTTGCACAGTACACAATAGCCCCTCTGTGTTGAGGATTGCAGGGTGGGGGCACTGTGGCCAGGCCTCCCGCCATCTCACTCCACACCCTCTGCTATCCCACCCCCAGACTCCCTGTGGTCCTGGACCGAGGCCCCACCAGCCCCACCTGCTCTCTATGAGACCTTCGACCCTGCATCCGCCTCATTCGGCCACCCCCAGGCTGTTCCCCTCTGCTACGGACCCGCCACCTACAGCGCTGCTGCTGGGGGTCTCGACCTGACCCCCAATCTGGAGGCCCTGGGGCCCAGTCTACCCACGTACCCCGCAGAAGATTTCACCAGCCAGGTGAGGGGCTTAGAGAACCCCAAAGTGACTATCATGGGATAGATTGGGCTTCCCAGTTTTGACCCCATTCCCATTGGACCCCTTCACCCTGTTAAGGGAGTCCCTGGTGGTGCTGAGGGTTAAGTGCTTGGCAAGTCACAGAAAGGTTGGCAGTTTGAAAGACCTGCCCGTCTGTTTCCCAAAGGTTGCCAAGCCACATGCGCTGCCATTCTCTCTCGATTATGTCTCCCAGGGAAACTCTGGGACAGAAGAGTCCTGGTGGAGTAGTGGTTATGAATTTGGCTACGATCCCCAAGGTCAGCAGTTCAAAACCTCAAGTCCCTCTAAAGGGAAACTCACTTTGACTTGAAATTGACCACAATGAGTTTTCAGGGAGAGGTTAAGTAAAGGTGGCACTGCGGAGTAAATCTTTTTAACAGTTTTATTAGCACTTCATCTCTATGTCACACAATTCAGTCATGTAATCATATCCAGAAGAGCTGTATAATTGTCACCACACTCACTTCCAGAACATTTTCTACTTCCTTGTACTCATTGTTATTCGTGTAAGTAGTAATGTTTATGGGGGTAGAAAGCCTCAACTTTTTATGTGTGTGTGCACACACGCGCACGCGCGCTCCGGATTGGTTGGTTGGTTCAAACTGCTGACCTTGAGGTTAGCAGCCCAACTTGAAACCCACTACACTACCAGGGCTCCTTCCAAAAGCAACCAGCCTCGGTACAAATGAGCCCACTGAGGGACACATTGTGTCAGACCTGTGGCCCTGAATGGGCTTTGGGGGGTGGTGGCTGGCCACAGCAGAGGGATGAGGTGGAGGTCAGAGCCCAGGGTGGTAATGGGAATTAAAAAGGGGGACATGAGAAGTGGGGAGAGAAGGGCACCCCTGAATGCATGGGTGACCCTGACCTTCTGCAGACCCTGGGCTCCCTAGTGGCCGCGTGTGCCCCCTACCCCAGCCCTGTGCAGTCCGAAGAGGAGGACTTTGTGCTGAGCAGCCCGACCCTGGAGGTGTCAGACAGCGAGTCCGACGAGGCCCTGCTGCCCGGCGTGGATGGCCGGGGATCAGACGCAGGTAGGCGGACCTGGCAGCGTGGTGTCGCGGCTGCAGCTGGGGATAGGGACAGAGACTAGAAAGAAGCCAGGCTGCTCAAGAGCACCTACTGAATGCCTCGGCTCCCCAATCTGCCACTTGCTGGCTGCATGACCTTGGACAAGCCCCCCTACCTCTCAGGGCCTCCGTTGGTCTCTGTACAATGGGAACGGAGACCCCAAGGGGGTCTACGCTCCAAAAGGCCAGTGGGAGGCTTGCACGACCTGTGGTTGTTGCGTTCGCCGCCGCCGCAGGGGGGAGCCATCGAGTCGATGCCACGCGACCGAGTAGACCGGCCCCGCGGGGCTTTCTTAGCTGTCATTTTCACAACAGCCATTCACCGTGCCTTTGTCCCGCGGAGCTGCCGCGATGGATTTTAAAGGCACCATCCGGGGACTTCTTCGGGGAGACATGGGGGTCTCAGAAGTGAGTGGCCCCAACGGCAGCCTCATCCCCAAATTGTCCAGACAACAGCGGCAACATAATGGCCACGCCCACCGCCACCCATTCCAACCCGCGCACCTCCCTCCCTCCTTCCCTCCCTCCCGCGGGAGCTCCGTTATTCTACGCCTCTGTGCAGAGGACCACTGTGCTCTCTGCACAGCCTTTTTCGATAGCGGTCACCCCTGAGTGGGTGTAAACGGCTGGCCTTTCTGCTCAGAGCCAGGCCTGCCTTCACTCAGAGAGATGAAAGGAGTTAACTGCCGCAGAGCATGTCAGCCCTGGTGCTTGGCACTAAATTCTCAACAACTCCGTAAGACGTCTATGCAAGTCAAACACACACGCATATGCACGCGGCCCATTTTCATCAAAGCTCAGAGAGGTTTAGTGATCACCCCAAGATCACACAGCTGGGACATGGCCCAGGGGAGGGTCTTAAATCCAATGAGCTGCCCAGTTCTGGGAGCTGGTGGGGGTGGGGGCGCTTGGTGCATCTTGGAGTGCAGGGATCAAGGCCCTCTGATCTCCCAGAGTCCCACTGGGAACAGGAAGCCGGGAATGATGGCTTGGGGGGCACAGACCCCCTCACCCCCTAAAGCGATCCGTTTCACCTCACTTGAGTTAGACAGGCTGGGGCTCAGCAAGGGCCCTGGTGGGCAGGAAGTGGGTTGGAAGCATGGGGCGGGGCAGGCGCGGAGGGACACGCCCCTGACACACACCCCCCCGCCCCCGCCCCGCCCCAGGAGCCCGCAAGAAGCTGCGCCTGTACCAGTTCCTACTGGGACTGCTGACCCGCGGAGACATGCGCGAGTGTGTGTGGTGGGTGGAGCCGGGCGCCGGCATCTTCCAGTTCTCCTCCAAGCACAAGGAGCTGCTGGCCCGCCGCTGGGGCCAGGAGAAGGGCAACCGCAAGCGCATGACCTACCAGAAGCTGGCGCGCGCCCTGCGCAACTACGCCAAGACCGGCGAGATTCGCAAGGTCAAGCGAAAGCTCACCTACCAGTTCGACTGCGCGCTGCTGCCCGCCGCTCGCCGGGCCTGAGCCCCCACCAGGACGCTCCTGGGGGGCAGCCAGGGACCCTCTGGGGCATCACTGCCACGTTGTCGACCACATAACCTAGGACCCATGGACCCCGCACAGGGGTCAGCGGATGTCTGGGATTCCTAAGCCTTGCCCAGGGCCCTCCAGGGATCCCCACGTGTGCCAGGGTTCCTGTTGGGAGTCCCCCCTTTCATGTCCAGGGCCTGTGTGTGTCTTGGGTCACGGGATCCGTAGACCACTGTGGGGTGGGGGGCGGCCCTGCTTGTAGTGTTCCAGCATCCCTGGGGTCCCCCAAACAGACTCGAGACCTCTCCTAGACCTGGCTTGTGGGTGGAACCTGTTGGTCACATCTGAGGTGAAAACTACCACAGAACCCCACTTCTGGAAGGGGGCTCCTGCTACCAGCTACCCCAAGCCCCTTGACAAGTCTAGGTGGTCCCCCTTGTTAGATCTGAGATTTCTCAACTATGTCTGAAAACTCCTTATCACATCCCAGCCCATTTGGGACGGACCCCCTGGTCGTGCGTGTCCCCTGCCCTCCACGAAAACCCCTGCAACCACTTTGAGATCAGTTTTGTCCCTGATATGTCTGGGGCTCTCCCAACATATTTCGGGTCCTTCTGAAATGGTCTAGTTGTGCTTGGACTAAGCTTGCCAGATGTGGGGTGGGCAGGGCAGGGGGACTACAGTGTTCTTTATGTATCTGAGCACATCCCACCAGATAGGCCCGTTTGGGGGAACATTGGCATCAGCCAACACTCCAAAGATGAGACTCCCCATTTCTGCCTTCACTTCGTGGACTCTGATTGATCCAGCGATGGTGAGCCAGCTAAGCTGGGGGGAGCCAGGCTGTGGTCTCCTCCTCCTGGACCCTGTTCTCTGCATTTTGCCCCAGTCCCCACCACACAGTGACTTAACTCAGCAGCGATGACCCAGGACTCCTGGGGCTCAGAGGCTCAGGACAAGAGGACCATGATCCTGAGGGGCTGGGAGGCCACAGGCAAAGGACTTATCGCTTCTGGGACCCCCAACCTCCCTTTCTGTGCACTGGAGAGAAGAGGAGGAAGACGACTCTCAAGGGACCTGCTGCACCAACGAGGACTGCTTCGTAGGGTTTCCCAAGCTGTTCTTCTGGACGAGAGCAGACAATCTCGAACCGGCCAACTGGCCGTGAGCAGAGCAATGCTTGGCCTGCTGCGCCACCAGGACGCCTTGCGCCTCTGCGACATCTCCCGAAATGGATCCTCCAGCCCCACCCCCAGCAGGTGCCCCACAAGAGAAGGGAGCATCCGGGACTCACAGAGGCGACGGGGCTTCCACTAGAAGGCAGGGCCCAGGCTGGGAGGCGCCTCCAGAGAGGACAGGGCGGGGCGGGGCGTGGGGCCCTAGGCGTCCTCCGCACCACAACCGCCTACAGATGATGTACACTTTGCAAAAGACAAAGCAAAAACAAAAACACCCAGGTGTGAAATAAAATGAAATCATCAAACCAAGGAGAGACAGCCATCCTGGGACCTTGGGTCAGGCAGTTGAGCTGTATCCCTACCCTGCCTCCAGGGAGTGGGCCTTCAGACACCCTGGATGGCGGCTGGGGGGAGGGGAGAGGAGAGTTGGGTGGCTGAGGAGCCAGAGGCTGCCCAGGCAAGAGCGACCCTTAAATGTCTGTGTCTCCCTCTCTTCCTACTGGCATGTGCTTCCTCCTGCCCTGTCTCCTCTCCCCTCTGGTACTCTGTGCACCCTCTCTCTCTGGCTCTCCATCATCCTTTCTCTGGATCTCTGTCCCCTCCCTCCCCCCTCTAAGGCTGTATCCCGTCTAGATCTCTGGTCTCCACACTCTGGATTGAGCCCTGAGACTGCCCGGGCCGGCATCGCAGCTGGAGCATGATGCCAATCTGCCTGGCAACCGTGACATCAGAAGGCAGCCCCCAGCGGATTGGCTGGGTGTGCTCGGGACGCAGGGGAACTTTCCGGTTCAAAGGAGGTTTGGACAAAATGACGAGGAGGGGCTGGACTTCAGTCACACTTGGGTCCCTAACCCGAAATTCACTCCAAGTCCCCAGATCCTTCCTTTCCCTTTCAGAGCCTCCACGCCCACCTGGCCCCTCCCCCAGAACACCTGTTCCCCCTAAACCCCGCCCATCACATCAAGCCCCGCCCCTTATCACCCAGGCCCCACCCACCACAGGACATCCTGCCACCACCCCCCGCCCCGATTCAGAAAGCCACGGGTCCTTCTGCTCGGCAGGGCGCCAGCTCCGGGCAGCCCTCCAGGGCCTTCCCGGCTTCCCGGACACCCGTTTGTCCCCCCCGCGGCCGGTGCCCGCCGCACCCGCTCCGGGAAGGGGTCCGTGAGGGGGGGGCCAGGGTGGTCCCAGGGGACTCAGAGGCCAGGTCGCGCCCTTTGGCGGCTGGGGTCCCCTCAGGCCTTTAGGGCTGTCCTCGCCCCAGGACGGCCCGCGGGCACTGACTACTCTCCCTCCCCGGCCATCCTGCCCACGCTGGGAAACCGGACCCTCCCTCCCCTCTCTGGTTTCCCGAAAACGCCTGCCTTGCAGATACTCAGCAAGACTTTCCCCACACGGCCTTTCCCCACCCCCACCGGACCCAGGCCAGAGCGGCCGCCCAGCCCGGACCCTGGAGACCCCAGGCCCTCCCAGCACGCCTCCTGCAGCTCTGCAAGGGGTGAGGGGAGCACCCTCCTCTCTCAGACCCACGAGTCCGGTCCCCCAGCCCCCTAGTCCCTTAGATCCAGGGGTCCAGGTCCCCCAACCCCCTCCTCACTTAGACCCAAAGGTACAGCTTCCCAGACCCTGGAGTCCAGCACGCTCCCCCCTCAGATCCAAGCTTCCAAGTCCCCAGCTCCCTCCTGCCTCAGACTCAGGTGTCCCGGCACCCAGTGCCTCCTGGCCAGGGGACTTGGCTCCCAGCTAGGTCCAGCTGTTACTCATCACCTTCTGGAGCACGCGGGAGCAATGTGGGGCGGCGGGGGGCGGGGAGGCTGTGGCTGAGTCCTCCCGGAGCCTCCTGGGAGTCCGGAGACGCCTTAAAGGGCTCTCCCTGGGGACCCAGGCGTCCTCCCCTGGGCCCCGCGCGGGACGCAGCTGTCGACCGAGAAGCAGGACCAGTCCTGAGTTCCGCCGCCGACATGCCCGAGGCGAAGCCAGGTGGCTGCCAGGACCCCTTTCTCACATGGGCTGGGGGTGTTCTTTCCTGCGTGGGGGTTGGGGGTGCCTTTCTTGATAGGGCACGGAGAACAGGCTCCCTTCCTTGCGT